CCATTACTTATGCATATGCCGCTTGGTGCTTTCTTTCCAAGACTCACGTGCAAAGTCTTCAAGCACTGCAAAACAGGACTTTATGCTCAATTTGCAACGCTCCATTGCATGTCTCAAATGATACACTACAGAGAGACCTTGACATTCCTTACTTGAGAGATTATGTCAAGCTTCAGGCGCAGCGACGTTATAGTCAAGAGGAATCGCACAGTAACTATCTATTGCGTGACTCAGTGGACTACACAGTGAAGCACGTTCGTAAACATTCAAGTCCACGGCTCTCAGTGTAATAAAACATCAGCGCACTTTTAGTAATTCCAAGATTACACTCTATCAAAACCTGAATCAACATTTGTTTTAAGTTCATCTAAAAATTAATCCGTGTACCAAGACAAAAAGCCTAGGTGTTTCATTTTAAGCTGCCTTCTTTGCCCTTCTCCTTTTTTTTGTTCTCCTTCCCTTTCCCTTTTTCTTTGACATTGTCTGGTTTCTGGGCAACCAGAACCGACAGATTCGACTAACGGGCATTGGTCAGTTTCAAATGGGTAAAGATCCTACGGACCGCCCAGACAAAAAAATGACGAATAGAACGAACAGAGGGCCAACTATGTATAGCTGTCTCATGTCTATTGACAATGCTTAGCACGGTCTGCGCTAGGTCAGTAGGTAGGACAACGAACGAAAAAGCGACGTATTATATTTTTAACGAAGTCCCTGGAAGGGTTAAAGTAGCTTTAGTTACATCTGTCCATTAAAAGGGTGATATAGCCAGTATAAATAAGTATAGACCAATATCTGTTATCATAATATAGCTAAAATATTTGAGAAAACATTAAAAAATAGGATAGCTCAATTTTTGAACAAATAACAATTCGGTTTTTCAACCAATGATGTGATTTTAAAATTAACAGACGAGATCAGAGAATGATTAGAACTCAGCAGACCGGTACTGTGCGCATTATTGGAGCTTTCAAGGTATTCGCCACTGTAAACTACCTGCAGATGTTGGAGGCCTCGGTGGATGCAGGAGTACAAAGTGGACCTTTACAGTTGTCTGCAAGCTATCTCTCAAATCGAAAGTAAGTAGTAAAGATTGGTGAGGCATTCAGCAATAAAAAGACAACTTAATATAGTTTACCACAGACTACTGTGTTCGGTCCAATCTTGTTTACAATTTACATTCTCACTTCTCCTTCATGTGGTCAAGTGTTTAGCTTTGCGCATGATACGGCAGCCTTGTATGACGATAGTACTCACAAATCTAAAAGATAAAACAAAACAGGCTCTGGGAACTATTTTTGGTTATTTCGATCATAAACTCTCAACAGCGAACTGCGAGAAAATAATTATTATTATTGACTTTGCCTTTTTCTAACGCGGTGCGTTGACTACGTTAGAATGAACAACTTTCAATAAATACAACGATAACTTTAAAATCGGTGAAAACCTATAAAGGTATCACTATTGACCGCCACTTGAGATGGGATGTTCTTACAACGTTACAAATACCTTACGAAAAATCATATATCGGCTTATATACTTGAATGAGGACTTATATACAAGTATCCATTAGTCTATGATGCTTTATTTTGAGTTGGGGGAGTGCCGGATATTGCCATTTGGAGCCTCTAGATATACTAAAAAGAAGAATGTTAAAAGTAATATCTGGTAAAAGAATACTCTGATAACTATTTTTAGAGACTGAGGTGTTTGCATCAACTTATTCAATACATGTGCAAGTACAAAAATAACTTCAATAGAATTAGTCATGCTCATACTACTGGCAAAGAAAACGAAAACATAAAGATACTAACTAGGAATTCAAAATTAAGTTTGATCAATAAGATTCGGTTGTATAAAATGGTCATAAGACCCGCACCTACGCATGCGCGGCTTGGTGTTTTCTTGCCAAGACGCACATGCAGAGACTGCAAGTCCTGCAAAACAGAACCCTACGCACAATTACTAACGCCCCTTGCTACGTGTCAAATGAGACCATTCACAGAGATCATATCGAAGGGATTATGTAAAACAACAGGCACAGCGGCGTCATAATCAAGCGGAATCGCACAGCAACCCTCTGTTGCGTGATTCGGTAGACTACACAGTCGAGCAAGTTCGCAAACATTCTAGACCGCGCCTCGCACTGTGATAAAAATTAAATTGTAAATTCAGACCAGCAAAAATTATTTTAGTATACGAAACCGATCAAAATTATTTTTTTGGAGTTACAAAATAATTCGAGTAGTCAAAGCAAAAATGCTTAAGCTATTTCAAATGATTTACTTCTTTTCTTTGCTCTATTTCTTCCTTCATTTCTTTCATTCTTTCCCTTTTCCCCTTAAACATGTTTAGTATCTGGGTAGCCAGACTTGACAAACTAACAGACCGACGAGACTTTTAACTAAGAGCAAAGGTCGAAGGACGAATAATGACGAATAGTATCAATGTAAGTCTATGATTCCACCCCTACATATCATGTAAGATTTATAATTGTTCGCCATACATACCGTATGTATATTCATGACATAAAATCATCGTCTATGATAGAAAGTTTATTAAAAAAATATATTTTTTTAATTGGTAGACAAGAGACAAGAAAGCTAGGGGAAATTGTTTACTAATAATCGTACAACACGAGAGCTACGCCTCCTTGCTCTCAATACTCCTAGTGTGTTTCTCACAATTTTCAGCTGAACTGATATGTGCTAACTTGTTGCTCTAAGTAAAACTGAATAATAAAATTAAAAAAAAAAATCTGTCCGTACACAACTTACTATCCTGGTTTCAACGGGCTTTACGTGGAAGTTTGAAAATGTTCATTGGTTTAAAAAGCACGTTATCTAAAACAACTTAAAGTGATTATGTGAAAGTCACGTATTATGTTTTCTTTTACGTTTATTGTACATTTTCATCTTTGCTTCACCAGAAAATTGTACTGGTTACGATTATTATTATTAACCTCCATCGGAGGTATAAGGTATACCCAAATATCAGGTAACCAAATAAGTTCGTGCGGTTGCTCTATATCGCACATTAACATGGATGTTGTTGATCGATAGCGATTGTTTGTTACCTGTTGTCACTTTAGTATGAATCCTTCTTTTCTGCAACACATAAAATGTTGCTGAAAGTTGTTTCATACCTAGTTTTAATAATTGAAAATGGCGACGAATAAAACAGTGATTCGAAGTTGTTTACTATATGAGTACAAACGTGGTACAAAAGCTGCAGCGGCGGCGCGAAAAACATGTACCGCATTCGGAGATGATACCGTTAGTGATCGAACAGCACAGAAGTGGTTCAAAAAATTTTCTTCTAAAGATCTCAATTTGAACGATGAACTGCACTCAGGCAGACTAAAAAACATGAACAACGAGGATCTTCGACAGGTTGTGGACGCAAATTCCAGGACAACGTGCCAAGAACTTGCAGAAATGTTCGGAGTGTCCTGAAACTGTTCGTTTGCCTCTTCATCAGCTAGGAGAGACGTGGAAGTTAAGCAAATGGGTCCCACATGAACTGACAAATGATAACGAATTAAGTCGCCTTATCATTTGTACAGCAAACATGTCACGCAACGTTAATGAACCATTTCTTAATCGGCTATTAACCTGCGACGAAAAATGGATCTTGTATTCGAATTCTAAGTGTTCGTATCATTGGTTATCGCCTACTGATTCGGTAGCACACAAGCCCAAAGCTTCCTTGCACCCAAACAAGGTTTTATTGTGTGTTTGGTGGACAGCAACTGGAATTGTCCATTATGAGTTTTTGGAAAGGGGTCAAACCATCACTACTAACTAGTATTGTGAGCAGCTTCAACGACTACAAGCAGCACTCATCCAGAACTTCTTTGTTCAATCGGGAGAAAGTGATATTCTTGCAGGATAACGCCAAGTGATTATCGCCTTTTTTTTGTCTCTTGACAACTGTATGAGGCCCCGACAGTTCACAACTCGAGATGGTGTAAAAAATGCAGCCTGCCATTTTTTTGACTCCAGATCCAGGGCGTTCTACAATACCGGCATACGAAAATTCGTTCCACGTTGGTAAAAGGTCATTGAATGTGATGGTAATTACTTCGACGAATAAATAGTGTCTTATTGTTTCTCAATAAAAATTTATATTTTCTACTAAAAACCGCACGAACTTATTTGGTTACCTGATACAATAGCACAAGTGCCCCCAGAAATGACCACTGTGTAATACTTTTCATTTGACCTACATACGAAGTGTCAAATGAGGTTAACCTTAACGTCAACGCATGCAGTATTTGCGATTCCCAGAAATATCTATCATGTCTAACAGGTGCATTTTCTATACTGGTACACTGTTTTTCGGCGAATTTTAGTATATATCGCTGCTTTGTTGCTATTTTTCCTTTGTGGATAACACTAGAGACACTAGCACACACTTTTGTTTTTAACCAGCGGCCTTAAACAACCCAACGTAGGTGTTTTAAAAGATAGTACAGAAAAAACCGGGTAAAGGACTGTCTAAAGCTCACGATAATTTCGATCAAAGCCCGGAAAAGCAGACTTTCAAGCGCGTAGTGCGCACTGAAACAAAAGGAAAGCGCAAAGGTGGAACGTCGCATACATACACACAAAGGTTGCAATCCTACCAACTGTCGCTGAATATCAAACGGTTCTTTTTTTAATATGAGCATGCCGGGGAGGGGATATGTATGGAAATTTTGTGATACCTGGGGTGGTGTTTCACCTCAAACTTTTCGGGGAACAATATTGGACGAGTTGAAAGTAACACCCCTTTGGGTAATATCGCCCGCAGATAAAAGAAGGGATAGGGTAGTGTGTACGCTTCAAGGAAAAGCACGTAGGATAAAATGCAAGGTCTTTCCACAAGCAGGGTTTAAAAATGTATTCATAGTTTACAAACATACAATAAACTCGGTAATTGCAGCCCATACAGAAGCGTCATTGCCATCGGTCTGTCGGTTTGTTTCTCTGTCTATCTGTCCGCTAATCCTTGACCCCTCTATAACTTAGAAAGTACCGGTCGGATTTTGATGAACACTGGGTTACTACTATGCAATGGAAGGAAAAGCCTTATAGTTTCTGAAAATCTGTCCAGTGGCGGCAGAGCTAGGGGCAAAATAGTAAAAATATAAAAACCGATCAAACTTCGTTTTTTACTTTTCAGAGGATCCTTATAATTTTTGAAAAAATTTTGAAGAGTCACAAATTGAATGTGAGGGGGTTGCAGGCAGATAAGGGAGGTTATATCCCAGTTTTTTTTATAGTGGAGTACTTATACTACGCAGCTTTTCAGTCTTCATAGATATCGCCGTACATTTATCCTTAAAACTTGGAATGGTGGGCGAATAATTCCATCAATCGCGTATCGATGATACGATGATGTAAACCGATCATCATCCACGTCTGATGTAGAACAGATTCGATCATACGTGCACGCAGAAATTTTTCTCAGAGGAAGGGGACATCCATCGACAAGATGTAACTTTTGTATGAAAGCCTGTAACTGTCTCCAAAACGTCTTGAATAGCGATTTTCTCAGCGATCGAAATCCTAAAGAGCTTCTATATCGTACAAAAAATATGATAAGTAGTGAAATTTTAATGATTTTTTGTTATACATATTCGTAGCTAACTTTTTTCTTGTAGGGGCCAAATAGGGCCGAACATCTTTATGAGCTCATAGCAGCGCTGCGTAGGAAGTGCAGAGTCAACGTATTTGAAGACATTTTTTTGTCATTCAATAATGTCATTCTTCTATGTCAGGAACGGCTGTTGTTCCTTCGCGTGAGGATTGCCGACCTATCAACCTGGTAGGTACAAATTCGTACTGAAGCGACAAATTAATGTTCCCACTCATTGTCAAATATTCCAAATGAATATAGAGAAGTTACAGTTCGAGAGGAAACACAAAGATTTATAATTCATTCACACTTGTGACAGGAGAGAATGGCATATGTTTCGTTCATTGCAACGAGCGTCCTAACCGTCGAACGGTATCTTGATACATGTCACTGGGCTGGTTAGTTTTCAGCTTTCGCATCTAAAAATTAAAAAACGGATAAAATTAGGTGGACATTTAAGCTGAAATTTTACTATTTTGTAGCACGAAATAAACCTATGGTACCAGTCACTGAATAAGCGTTGTTTCCTAATTGTAAGTTATATTTCGTTCTTTCCTCCCATTTTTTCCTGTTTGTTGATCATTTTTGAAATTTTCTATATAAAAATAAACTCCTTCATTATTTATAACTGACAACTTATAAATGGGCATAATTAAGCCACGGCTATTCTTCCACTTGACCCTCAAATAGTGATAGTCGCTACGAATTTAGATTAGTAAAAATTTAACACAATAACAATACAAGCATTGAAAAAATAGAAATAATTACACTATATGTGCGGAAGATGATATAATACAAGGATACTGCATTAACTATGAAAGACCTAGGTATGACTCTGTTAGGATCATTAAATCTTGTCGACATATGAGCTTTTTGTATAAGTACAGGGTCCGGCACAAAGGACGGGCAGTTTTAAAAAAATCACAAAATAGGTAATTTTTACTCAAAAACAAATTTATTGACGTATTCGGGTTCACAATTAAGTAACGTTTGTCACAATTAAATGTGACGATGCATTGCTGGAGACGTTCTTGAAAGTTCGCGTAGACTCTCTCCAACATCGTTCTCTCAACTTGGGCGACTTCCACGCAAATTGCCTCCTTCAACTCATCCAGAGTTCGGAGTTTGTGATCGTATATACGAGAATTGAGGTGTCCTCATAGGAAAAAATCGCAGATGGATAAATCTGGGGACCGAGAAGGCCAATGAACATCACCAAACCTGGCGACCACGGAAGAGAGGGCGAATAACGTTCATCATTGCTCTGGCTGTGTGGGCGGTCACCCCACCCTATTGCAGCCACACACATTGGAATTGAACACGTCATAGTCGTAATTCAGGTGGAAAGAAGTTGGTGATAATTTCGACATAGCGCAAGATAATTCATTTTCATTATCTTGCAACTACAATACCTTATCTACAAAATGAGAACCAACCGACAATCGCACCATCCCTGAAGTGTAGAACACATTTTTATAAGAGCAATTATTTCACAAAAATCCACTAAATACAAATTTCTATTTGAAATTTATTGCGCCTTTGTAACGCGTCAGAGCACATATTCTTCTCAGGGTTAGAGGTTAGTTTTGTGTAAATAGAGGTGATCAAGGTGTTTCATACTTTGCAATAACTTGAAAATTCTTTGCCCGATTCCGGTGTCCAAAAATTTAATTAGCGAGTATTTTAGGGGTAAAGATAGGGGCCAAGGTTCATCTTCCTACTTCCTAGTGATAAAATAACTTGATAAAAAGGTAAAAAATGATTTAATCATATTTTTGGCAAATGAACATTTTTTTCCTGGCACGACTCATATTCTCGTGGATCAACTCCTTTCACGCGTTTTCATCAAATAATGTGTCCACTTCTCCAAACAGTTGATACATTTCTTAGACAGAAATTTGCCGTGAACGCCCGGCAACATCGCGGTACATTATTGTAATCAAAGTGTTTCCAGTTTTGTGAAATAAATAATGTAAATTACACCTCCCAAGTATTAGAGGGTTTACCAACAACATTTACTATAATGCGGCTGTAAAACAATGATTTTTTGTGTCTAATTTAGTTTTGATCGGTTTTGATCTAAAATAACAACAACAAAATTCTTCCGGAGCCCATCAACTGTGAAGCAACGTTGCCACCTCTTGCAATATCTCCCCAAATAAAACAAATCGCAACATGAACACTCGACTGCACAGTAAGAAACAAAAGTTAATAACAGAACGAGTCAATCGGTCGCAAAATACAAGTTACATACATATACAGGTCGACGACCCAATTGACGAAAACACTAAAACCCAGGAAAGCATTGTGTTGGATATAAGGAACAGGTTGGCACAGAAGGAAACGAAAATTGAGGAGCTCAACAACACCTTAATTGAGCTGAACAAGAAAAATGATAAGCTTGCCAGAGAACTAGAAGCTAGGCAAGACACTATTGATTACCTGAAAAGCGTAATAGAAAAAGTTGTAGGCAAAAGTATAGTTATGGATAATTCTACTCAGACACATCAAAAAGTCACATCAACTGTATCACAGACTGATGACACAAATTTACAATTAGACACATCGTATTCATTAAAAGGAGACATATCTAAACATGAAGGTCGAGCAATTAATACGCAAATCTCTCGTACAGTCCAACCAGAAGTAAGCAACTCATCAGGAAGTGTGGAATTGTATGTGAGGCCACAAACTGGCGCCAACACACAGAACGAAGAAAATCACAATACATCGACATCAAGCTTGTCTAAGACTCTAGATGACATCTTAACTACCGATGCTCATCCAAGCAGTGGGATTATTTCCAGTGACAGTATGACAACGAATATCAGTGAACCCATAGCTTTAGAACAACGACATGTAGGTAGTGATAAATCTAAAGTGCTGGTCTTCGGCGATGAGTTTGCAAGACATGCATCTTTTTTAGTATATTCCATTCTATCACAAAGAGATTTTATCGTAGAAGGTGTGGTCAAGCCGAGCATAAATGTTTTAGATTTAGTTTTAACTCTGTTTGAACATTCACGTCAATACGGTAAAAATGACCATGTGATTGTTATGATTAGCACAAAAAACGTTTCAAATTTCAGACAACTGAGCAAAAGCTTGAAATATCTGCTGCCAATCAGTAAAGTAACGAATCTACACATTCTCACTGAACGAAACCATATGCAGGACGAAAAGATTGATGAGTTTATTAGTAAGGCAATTGTAAATTTTACAGACAAAAACAAAAATACATCGACAAACTTTCAATGGAATGTTCAAATAAGACGAAATGCCTTAATCGGGCTGATTAATAATTACATACTCTCTAAGAGTAGCACAAATAATATTGTTTTAAAAGTAGTAAAGACAAATCAATTGGCAACTGTCAATAGCTCAGTTACTTCTCAGTTTTTTCGTACCCAATAAAGAAAGAATCTCTAAATTTAATTTCAAACTTCTTCACCTCAACATACAGTCTTTGCGTCACAAATCAGATGATTTAGCAGTGTTAGGATCTGACAATCAGTATGATGTGCTGTGCTTGAATGAACATTGGTTGTCTGAGGGTGAATTCATTGTTAATCAATTAATAGGTTATACACCAGTATCAAGCTTTTGTAGAAAAAATAAAACACATGGTGGTGTAGCAATCTTTATAAAAACCAACGTTGATGCGGCGCCTTTGCCAGATTCAGTTTTTGTAGAAAAGGAAGAACAGACTTTTGAGATAGCAGGCTCTTATATTAACAATATTCAAATTATTTCGTTATACAGAAGCCCTAACAGCGATTTCGATACATTCCTTAATAAGTTATGTACTACACTTGATCGCTTAAATTACGAGAGGGATATAGTCATAGCAGGCGATTTTAATGTGAAATTCACCACCAATGACACTCGAGCACACCAAGTCGAAAGTCTATTTCGCTGCTATGGATTGAATAAAAAAGTCAGCACCAGTACTAGGAGGCATAACTGTCTGGACAATATATTCACAAACATAGACAGGCCCTCCGGTGTCACAGTTTTTGAGAGCTATCTGTCTGATCACCTAGCAATTGAATTTACATGTGAGCAAAGTAAGAACTTACGAACGTTCAACAGAGTTACTTTTAGGCCAATTACGGATGAGGGTCTTTTCAATCTGTACATGGAAATTGAGAAGGTTGACTGGTCATTCATCGGGGGAAATGATAACATCGAGCAAGCCTTTGAAACATTCATTCATCTAATCAGCAGTAAAGTTGAAAAATGCCTTCCATATAAATCACGTATCTTTGGTAGTGATAATAAAGCGGGAAGAAAAATAAATTGGTTTGACAGTCATTTGCGTGCTATGAGAGACCGTTTGAGGCTCCTGATGGATTGGTACAAGGTTAACCCACAAATAGTTACCAAACAAGCTGTTAACGAGTATAGATCACAATATCGACAGGCTATCACTAATAGCAAAAAACAAGCACACGACTTGTATATAAACAATTCGAGCAACAAGCAGCTAGCAATGTGGAATATTATTAGATCCAATGTTCCAGCTAATAATCAGAACAAAAGCAACATCTTGAATGCTAACGAATTCAATTCATACTTCTCAAGTATAGCCCAGACGCTCATTGACAATATTCCTCCAGCAAATCGTGATGCACTAGACTACTTGGTTCATACTGATAACATCGACCTTTTCTTGTTCAAAGAAGTATCCTACAATCAAGTCAGATCAGCGATTTCATCACTAAAAAATTCTAAGAGTACAGATGTACATAAATTGAATTCAAAAATTATAAAGACCATAATGAATCTGATTATCGTTCCACTCGCTAAACTTTTTAATATTTGTATTCGAAATAGTACTTTTCCTAAAATTCTCAAGATATCCAAAGTCATTCCAATACTTAAAAATGGATCGGATGATGTGCTTTCCAACCATCGACCAATTTCTCTAATCTCATACTTTGCTAAGATTTTTGAAATTCTGCTAAAAGATCAACTAACCTCTCATCTAGAGTCAAGTCAATTATTTAATGACAAGCAGTTTGGATTTAGACGGAACAGATCTACTACTACAGCTATCAATTGTCTTATAGATCTTGTTAACGAAGGATTTGAGAACCATCTACATACCAAGGCGGACCTTTTCGATTTATCTAAGGCTTTTGATTGTCTGCAGCATAGTATTTTAATAAAAAAATTACCTTATTATCACATTCATCCTTCTAGCATCAAAATTTTAGACTCTTACTTATCCGACAGAAAACAACTAGTACATTTCAATGGCTGTAACTCTGATACCAGATCAGTGATCCATGGAGTTCCTCAGGGTTCCGTACTGGGACCACTGCTGTTTTTATTATACATTAATGATATCCCCAATAGCCTGTCAGATACGCACAATGCTGCTTTGTTCTTATATGCTGATGACACTACTTTGGTAAATTCTAATAAATATGTAAACACCCTTGTCGAAACTAGTTCATTGTGTAAGTCGAACCTTGAGGATTGGTTTGCTGCCAATATGCTATTGCTCAACACTGATAAAACTCAGTCTATAATACTAAGCTTACGCAGTCATGAGTTGGAATCTGCTCAAACAGTGAAATTGCTAGGCGTTCATATTGACTGTACTCTGACATGGGAGGTGCATACTCGCTGTGTGGTGGATCGTTTGTCCAGAGTTATATATCTCATACGTAGTCTAAAGGATAGAGTATCTGATAAAGTTTTATTAACTGCTTATCATGCATATTTCCACTCTAAAATGACATATGCAATTTTGGTCTGGGGACACTCTCCACATATGCAAAAAGTGTTTGGCATGCAAAGGCGTTGTATACGTTACATCTCTGGTTTGAAATATAGAGACCTCTGCAAGGCTGAATTCATTAAATTGGCCATACTAACCCTTCCATGCGCGTATATTTTGAGTTGTCTCATATATATCAAAAGTAACATTAGTACCTTCCCCACTCATAGTGATAACCACAAATATGAAACACGAAATAGAAACAACATTTGCCATAATAACTACCGTCTAGAAAAATCAAGAGTTGGAACAAACTTTTATGGCATCAAATTTTTTAATGTGCTACCCAACAATATAAAAACATTGGATATTGGTGTTTTTCATAGGAAACTAAAGTATTATTTAATAAAAAACGCATTCTTTAGCACGGACGAATATTTGGCAAATGACTTTACTGATATACCTTAAATGTTTATTTATTCATTTCTGTCTCCAACTTATGTACAGTTGTTATTGTTTTGTTTGTCTGTATGTGTATAGTTAATTGTATTATACATATATTTTTCTTAGCGATGTTCTTTTATCTCATGACATTTTTGTATTGTTTTTTTTTTCAATTTGCTTTTGGTAATTATGCGTTACGCAGCATTGCATTGTTTTTAACTTGTTTTATTCATGTTTGATGTAGATTTTTCTAAGCGTTCGATGAGTATATATTGACTTGTGTAAACACTTTCTGTGTATTAACATCAATAAATTATTATTATTATTATTATTATTATTAGACTAATAGTAATGTAAGGTGTCTTCAATATTTTCGTGTGAACAGTACACGTATTTGCAAATGTCTATACATCCAATTCCATCAATGTTGTCATTGCTGTACATTGGAGCTTTGATTTCCTCTTTATAGCTCACTCCATGCCGAGTTAAAGTTTCAATAACGTGGGACAAGTTATTGCATTGCCACTTGTTGGCTGATATGCCTATGTATTCTATATTATTTACATTTGTCAGCAACCTGCAAAATATAACATAGAATCATATAGTGCATGTATACATATAGTAAGCTACAGCGCCATCTATGAGACAGTCACTTTTTCGAAGTAGATATCTAATTGAATCGATCAGTGTAAAAACCACCAAAGTCCATTTTTACCAACATGTTTTTGTCCTGAAAATGTTTCATTAAAAGTATTTTGGGTACACACCTCGGAAGTTACTATATTACTTGCCGTTGAACTAACACCACGTACGTAATACAAGCCCAGTGCAAAAACCACATAAGTCCGGGACTAACGCAGTTTTTGCACGCACTACTCGACGGTGGGTACTTGAATGGGTCATTTCAAAAGCAGTGCCAGTGTCTCTGTATTGCTTTATTACCATATTTAAGTCCTACATGCACGAGCATATCAATTTACAAGTCACCATTACAAAAACAAGATTACGAGCCTTATCAACTTTGCCCTAAATCACTTGCTTAAGAGTTTCCTTGTTTAATATCAAAACCATTGACTCAATCCTTTTCATTTGTATGACTAAGAAGGGCCTTCAAATGAACGCTGAATTTTGAATAGCTGTTCGTAAAGATACTATCAAGATGAAATAATGTTCCGTGCTCGTCCAAATAAATATTTAGAATACATAGCGTAGTACCCTCATAGCTTACCGAACCCCCACAATTTCAAAGCACGCACGCAGCGAAGGCCGCCTATAAACAGTCATTGCTTGTTCTCGTGCCCGACCGTTAACATGTCAATCGGCTTCACGCGTCATTTTTACGATTTCAGCAGTGTCGAGGAATCGCTGAGCATTCAGAATTAGAGAACAGGACAGAAGGTTAGCCGATAGATATGCATTGTCGGCGAGATGCCGACCGACGGTCGCCTTCAAGGTTTCTTTCGTCGTGGAGCAAAATTAGAAAGTGGCGTGTAGGCCTCTTTTTTTGAAGGGGCGTCACCATCAGGTGATTGTCAACTAACCGATCTGTTTTAGATGCAAGTTAGGTAAATATTAGTATGGATGCCTCACCGGCGTTGCAGATTCCGCCTGACACAAAGACGCTTGGGATAACGCTGAAGCATTGGCGCGGTGCCGCCTTCCTTCGGTGCGTGCACGCTTTGAAACCGCGGGGTTTGGTGAGCTACGAGGGTAATACGTTATGTATTTTAAGAATTTATTTCGACAAGGACTTCACATAATTAAGATCGAACATCACTTACAGGTAACTTTGTTTGATCAAGTAGATAATTATAAGCACAGCACCTATCTTGCAATGTCAATTCCTTTGATGAAAAAATAAATGTTGGGCGGTAGTTAAATAAGCACCTGAGTTCATCCACAAATGACTGCGGTTTATTGAAAAAAGTTGAACGAATAAGTCAATGTGTTTTTTCACAATGGTTGATTCATGCATCAGTTGTAAAACGGGAAAGGCGACTTTCTTAGATGTTTCCGAGATATGCATTAAAAATATGAAAGCATGCAAAATTAAACCGTGTTGCATGCTGATAAATCAATATTTCAGTGTAAGTTTACATAACAAGTGATGCGAAATATGATTAAAATGATTCTTTGCTTAATTTATGTACCGCTAACCCTGCTACAACAATGTAAATCCATAACAGTTTTTCGGGCTGCGAAACTGCGAAGCTTCTTTGAAATTTAAATATTTTGGGAAAAAAATACTACATTAAAGCTAAAAAAGTAGTACGATTGTAATACTCCTGTTTAGCCTAAGTTCAACTTGTTCAATGGAAAATTAGGGTTGTACCATACATTGTCATGTTCACCGACAAGTCAAGTGACGTAGGGAGGTACGTCTGTTTAACGTCGGTTCAGGTCAAATTCTTATGGCTTTATGATAATCGGTGCAAAACTGACATGTGTTTAATTTTTTAGGTTATGCTATGTTTAGGGTTTGGTTAATCTTAGTCAAAAATAGAGGACATTGTTGAATAAATCTCTGATGACGAAGATTTTCTGGAGCTGTATGTACAATGTATTGGTGCATCCCAGAAAATCTCAGACCTATAGTTTCAGGAAAGATCACTTCAACAAGTGGGTTCAGCGACGTGAATGTCACAAAAAGTAAGTGTGAGAAAAGTGAATTTACAAGTTTTAAGAGTCCCAGACTCTTTGTATAGGGTGGTTCAAAGATCTGACGGAATACCATAGATTCCTTATCACGAGAAATTGAAAAAGTTAAATTATAAAAAAAAAATATCTTTGGCAAACAGGGTAGTCCAAAGGTGGAAGCAGGCCAAGCATTTTTGAATGTAAAATCCTTTTTAGTTTTGTATTTTGAGGTTCCCCTACTGATTTTAAACATTTTTTGTTAAATGTGTTAGCGTCCATACCTTTTTTTGCAGATATTGAGGCAGAAAATGAGCCTTTTATCATATTCGACACCGTGTAAAATCTAAGGGTTGATTGCGTTTTACGATCTGTTCTAATATGAGAACTACATCAACAGGAAATTTATTACACAGGACCTAGAACATGAGAAAATGTGGTTTTCTAACCTTAATCTCTATTCAGAAGAATACAGAACTAACAAAACAAAATTAATGGTAAACGCTTGAGAGTTATTACTTAACATTTACATGTTGCCCGTTCTAACTACAAAACACCAAATTTGCGACATTCATCTGTTTTTCCCTGTACCAAAATATCTTTTGGATCCAGATATACTTCCTACAGTCAAACAGTTGAACTATTTGTACAAACATATCGCAATCGATGCTTCAGTTTTCAATTTCTTGCAGAGTTCTTGCATTCATTGATGTGTTGGTGACTCTTCACCAACTCTACCAGCAACGACTCTTCCGTTGAAAAACATTTGGTGGCTTCTGTTTTGGAATCCGTACTTATTTAACAGCAACATGAAATAAATATTAGGCTCAACGCTGAAGTCGGCTAATAACAAGTAACTAACATACTTATGTCAGTATCACAAAGTGACAGTGACAAACAGAACCGTAAACTCTGCTGGGTAAATGCAAAATTGACCTGCTTTTACCCAAAATTCGGCGATACCAATCCTAAACTAAGCTCCTCATCTATCGCTGAACCTTTGTCAAACTTTTGTACAACTTCGTGGTCTTCGTGGTGGTTCAACTAAAGAAACAACTGGCCATAAGATGCCCTATTTGTTAGTGAAACAGCTTTTATTGTGCCCCGGAAAATCCAAATTATGGATCTTACGAGTTTTTTTGTACTGACTATTTCAATTATTTCGGAAAGAAGAAACATTATAACTCAAATTCTCATAGATGACGCGCTGGGATTCTATTTGATCTCGGATAATTTTTTGGACGCTGTTTGACTCTCTCCGGATAGAATACGCTAATCAATGTAGATACTGACCTGTCAAAATCGAAAAGCTTCAAATGGTTGTTATCCAAGTACAGTCTTCTGAGGTTCTTCGAAGAATAGAAAGCACTTGCATGTTCCAAGGTCACTAATTCGTTATTGGATAGATCCAGAACCTCTAAGGATTTGAGATTTGAGAATATTCCGATGCTTATTATTGCTAATTTGTTAGAAGACATGTTAAGTACCTAAAACCATACGGTGAAAGTAATTCTTGATTATATAAAATAATTATTTTGGGCATCTGTTCTACTAGGAACACTTTCATTAATTGTTAGGCAAATAATATTTTTATAGGTGTAAACATCCTTTTTCTTAATCAAATAATAATAAACCGTACCCAGTGAATGTAGTGACGTTATAATGTCGAAATTCTTAGGGCACTACTGGTGTACGCCGACCAACAGAAATGACGTCAAAATAACGTCATTGTGACCGTCTAATAACGACCAAATACAAAGTCAATTTGACGTCTGTATGACGGCCGAGGTCGATATGACGACTACGTGACGTCGATATGACGTACAGTCGCTCGCAAAATGTATCGCGCGCAGTATCCAAATGCTCCTTTAGCGGTGAGGATATGACAACGACGCCCCACAAGCAGTGAGTTCCGAAGTGGTAGAAAGGTGCCGACACCCATATTCTACTTACAGATTACTCTTGCACCCTCTTGTTCCAAGATATCCTTGCCACCGCTGCAATTTTTCAGGAGCATTTGTGTATCGAAGTGGTTAATATAGAACTAAACAATACCGTTTAATCCCCAACAGTCCTCCAATGGTTCAGAATTTGTTTGTAGCAATTTATCAAAATCGCTCTGCTTTTTCGCAGGAGGCCAAAACACTTCTAGTTTACTGGATGTCACCCAAGCTTTATTGACCATGTGGCAAGACTATCGTCCTTGCTAAATTATACCACAATGCACGAAGCGATCGTGACGTCGGTCGGTAATAAAACAAAATAGCCGAACCATTACCAAGTGACGACCACGCAGGGAGCTTGGACATCGGTCAAGCTCTCCGCCAAGTTCAACCGTGGTGACGATAGATCTTCTGAATGATATATCGTTCCAAAATTTGAAATTTTACCGCGCTTGATTGAAAATAATCTACTAAAACTTGTTTATTCTTATACAGAGGAGTTTTTGATGATGATGATTCGTTATTTACGGGATTAAAACATGGCAAATTGAAATATCTGAGCATGGAATATTATTATTAGAAAAGTCATATTAAGAAGATATTTTTGGTCGAAGAATTACTGTAAAAATAAAGTAGTTATTAGTATTTGGATATCTAGTATACATTACTGTTCATTAAAAGTCTATTTTTTTTTTGTAGTTCATTGTTGATTTTTCAGCACTGACCGTCTTAAAAAAGACATCAAAATGACAGCCTTTAAAAGGACGTCTTATTGTCGTGATCGAAATGACGTCAATAAAGACGTCACTTTTTAGTCGATTACTCTTCCGACTAAAAGTGACAACAAAATGACGTCATTTTTTCGTCATCATGTTCACTGGGTAGGCTTTGGTACAGACTAAAGTTCATTTTGTACTATTAGCTAGTTACCTTCAAGTTTGAAAGGTACTCAAAAATTCCCACAGGCAGCTCCTTGATCCTATTTTGCTCAAGGTGAATCCACAGCAAATCGCCATTGTTAACAAACAACTCTTTATCCAATGTTTGCAGACAATTATTCCTAAGGGAGAGCTTCTCCAAAAGTGGTAACTCATTTAAGCTATCAGCATTCAAAAGACTGATATTGTTATTCTGCAAATATAGCTCCCTCAAGTTTCCTATTCCGACTAGCATTTCACTTGATATATTTCCGATATAATTGAACGATAAGTCCAACGTACACAGACTATCTAGTCCCACAAAGGTACTTTTGTTCAACTCACTGATGTTATTATGATCCAAATGCAGATATTCAAGGCTATTTAAGCCAATGAATGCACCAGTCTCTAAACTTACAATTGACAGTCCACTCAGATCTAGGTCGTTCAGACTCCTCAGCCCTTTAAAAGTATTGAACTTTATCTTCTTGACTGTTTTAAATAGCTCCTTGCTTGATATATCTTTGAGATTGTATAAAGTTTGAAAAGCCCCGCCTTCTATTTGCTCCACTACAACGTTTTGGCAGTCTAGTGTGTGTAAGTTATATAGCCCTTTAAAGCTGTTGTTTTTCAGTAGAGGCACATAACTATCCAATATTTTGATTTCATTCAGGTTTATATTTGCGATTTTCGATGTGAGAATGGTGTAGTTAAAGGATAAACTGATAGATTTGATTTTGAGCTTGTTCGAAAAAGGGCTAAATGAAGACAAGCAGTTTCCGTGTAGGAATACTTCTCTCAGATTTTCACAATTCACAAAGAGGTTATCGGGTATAGTGCTGATATTATTTCTACTCAAATCGATAGATTCTAAGGCTGGTAGATCGGAAAATGTATTTGAATCTAATTCACTAATGCATAGCTGGGAAAGATTAAGCTTTTTTAGACTTTCCATGTTACGAAAGCTCCCATTTCTTAACGTATGTATCTGGTTGCCATCAAGTATCAACTCTTCTACAGGTAGATTTTGGAATGTTCCTGGCTCTAAAATCTGAATGCGGTTATGGGACAAATCCACCTTTTCCAAATTAGCTAGCCCTTCGAAAGAGTTTCTTTCAATAAACTCAATTTGACAGTTTGAAAGTATTAAGGTTGCCATATCAGTACAACCGATGAATGTAGATTTGAATAGTACTTTAATCGGGTTATATGAAATGTCAAGATAATGCACGCTGACTGAAGAAAATATGTTCTTTGCGTTAGTAATGTTGTTATTGCTTAAATTTATGATGTAACCCCACATATTGACAAAAGCATGTTGAGCGGTTTTAAGCTGAGAGTGAGATAAGTCTAGATTAGTGAATTTGCAGTCAGAAAAACTTCCTTCTTCGATGAACTTGATATTGTTGTAACTTAAATCCATATATCCCATATCGAAATCATGAAAGTAGTTCTTTGATATCTTTGTTATGGAACAATTTGATAATTGGATGATCTCCGCCCTAAACGACTTCAATTCTATGATAGACTCTTTGAGTTTGGGTATTGGTGTGTCTGATAAATACAATTTTTCTAATTTAGGAAGTTGAAAATTAAACTCCTTGTTTCCGGAGTACTTCAGTACGACCGTATGAGGTGCATGTATTTGTTTTATCTTATTGTAACTAATATCCAAGTCACGAACTCTGACTAAGAGGTCATACTCTGAAAACGTTTTTAAGTTGTTGTGACTCAGATCAATAGTATCATAATGAGAACTACTCGCACCCCCTATCAAAGCACTGATATTGTTAAAGCTGACGTTCAGATTCCGTATACCTATGGTGTTGTTCATGTCAACAATACTCAGATTGTTGTGACTCAAGGAAAGGTGCTTCAAATTTTTGAGGCTATGGAAAACATTGTCCAAATACATAACTCTGTTGTAGCTTAGATCTATTGTTTGTAACCTTGAAGGAAGTGATTCGATGAAATAAATGTTCTTCAATGAATTGTGACTTAAGTCCAGTGTCTGCAGATATTCAAGCTCTTGAAATGCACCTTCGCTAATACGTTCTAAGGAGCAGTTTTCTATAACCAGTTTTGTGATGTTAAAGGTTGAGTGTAATCGTGGAAAGTAATCCATCGTCGGTATTTTTGAGTTCGTTATAGCGATCCATTGAAGTTGAGCTATGTCTTCTTCTAGAACTAGGGAAAAGAAGTCGTGCAGGAAGTCTGGCCATTTTATTTCAGTGCACTGAAGGAAGTCGAGTCCTGAATGGCAGGAGGCGTTGCAGTATACTGCTCTCGCTAAGATTATCCATAATAGTATGACCTTCACTGTCCTGTAATATTTGAAGTTATTTTTATATTCATTGTAATGGAATGTAGCCCAATATGTGAAACATTTTTCATGGGTGGAGGGGGGTGACGTTAAATGGACTGAAATGGAAACTAAAAGTACAAGTATTATACACATTACGTTAGATAGCACTATCAGCAGCTGAATACATTTATCATTTCATGTTCTAATGGTGTTCTGTTGATCAGTGTCATACGTGGAGTTGACACTTCCATACTTCAAAGATGCTTCGAATCTCAAAAACTATGACCTCTTCGGCGATGCGATACAAGTAGGTACTTTTAGTTGAGGCGATAGACTAATCTTAATCATGAACAGATTATTTTTTCCGACAAATAGATATTGCTTCGTCAAAGAATGCAATCATCATAATCTTACAATTTTAAATCTATGAACATCAGTGTATATAATCCAATAATGGATAGCAGCGAGACATGCAATCACAAACTTAACAGTTTGGCAATTGAACCTAGATTATGCTTGTGAAAGAGATTATTCTGCAGATGAAGTAAAGTAACTGAATCTTATATTTGTATTTTTTTTATACATGTTTTCGTCAAATCACAAAATACATTTTTTTAAGCAATGAAAATACTTTATTCATATGTACAGTTTTTTTGAAAACAATTAAAACTCATACACCCTACGTTTTTGCCATATATAGTTACAATCAAGACATGACACTACTAACACTAAACTGGCCAAGCTACTTGACGGCATTTTTTCATTGCACACAAAGAAGGCGTGAAGGCACAAGAATGTCAGGCAGTATTTCAGTTTTCTCCGGTATCATTTCAAGTACCTTCTCCTGATAATTCTGTATTCTTTGGCAGATATTTAGGATCACCAATGCAAAGCTATAGAATCAGAATGAAGGATCAAAGACTCTACAAACGAGGAGCTACAATAGATTCACATGACTCAATGTAACCTCGGGTTTATGTGCCAATACTTCTTGCAATTTATTCTAGTTTATCTGCAAGAGGAACTTTATACTTACATTTTTATATAATAAGCAGAACATCTAGGAATACATTCTTAATTGGAGATTTACCACATTTCTATATTACTTGTCATAACTGTGTGCATGCAACAAAGAGTAACTACGAAGTGAACTCAATTCAAGTGCTTATCTATCCATAGGCGCCGTATTGCGGGATTTGCTGAATAGGAAATATGAAACCATTTTTTGCCGTATTTTCTGTTTATTATTTACGTTAATACAGTATCGTCAACATATACTTCATTCATGGAAACATCTGTATCTATTTATTTTTAATTAAACTTAAAACTGCAATGCTACTGATCTGAATAACGTCACCTTTCACAACATGTCATTCCATTATTTTCTTTGTTAGTTAGCTGTCGAGTTTTTGACATTCCAATTATTTTGAAAATTACTAAGTCGTTACAGGTTATGTTTGTTATTACAGATCACGTTGAAAAACTGAAAAATAATGTAAATAAAATATGTAGCGTTTGTGCTTGAGGCAATATATGAAGTCATAATAAAAGCGACTATTTTCAGAAAATGATCCGGCTGTTCCGTTTGAAAACCTCTTTGGGTCATTGTTGATTGGGCTCAAAAAGGCTATACAGGGTGTCCTGGAAGTTAAAACTTTCCTTTTCAGAAACAACTAAAATGTTGATTTGCGGTAAAGCAGCACTAAAAACGTAGAAGAAAAATATTCACTATTTGTTACGGCATCCCAAGTACCGCCCTGTCACATGGTATGTACTTACTCGAAGTTGTCGCTGTTCGAATCAAAAATATGTATACGCTCGCGAATCTTGGAACCCAAACATCAAATCGGTAACTACGACATTGCGGTAGGTATGTGCCATTTTCAAATGCAGTTTGTTTATGAACAAAGGTTAACCTATACACCGCGCGGCGCCCAGCTTGGATGAAGATTCACATAGCTTTAGTTCCAGAGAACATTTAGAATTTTTCGATACTTAACATCTCGGTTATCTTGAGGTTTTGCTAGTAGGAAAGCTTGGCCTGGCTCTGTAGAGTACATCCCGTATGTCAAAAACTAAGTCTTTGGTCTAAGGTACGCGAGAAAGTTATAAAAACAACTCGACCAATGAATGAATACAATGTATTCATTCGAACTGATCAAATATTTTTGTTTTGTAAATCCAATCCTTTCGATTTCGCTCAAAAGACCTAACATTTTACACCATACTGACCAGTCGACACAGGGTTGACTGGTTAAGAGCAGCGAACGGCAACGTCACACCAATAACGTTCCATTTCAACATTTCTAATTTCTAGTCTTTTTTCCATTTTTTGTAAATGATACCCGTAACTTTACACCGCAAAAATATAAAAGTCCAAAGTAATGTGGACGGTGTTACCCTGTAGCAATATAGACTGTATAAAAAATAATTGACCGTTATTTGAATCACACCCATATTCCTTATTATTATTGGTGGTAAGTGCATGTATAGATATTTTAAAACAATTATCCGGTATGGTCAGATAAACTAAAGACAACCAAGAGATTATGTTAAAGAACAGTTATCACTGGTGTTGGTGTATGCTCTAAAGCTGCATCTTAGCTAATAATTCCACCGAAATACAAGTTTGGTTTTGACGGATGGTCGACCTTTGTCACGAAGCTGTGCGTTCTGGCTTGTAGGAGTTGCAAATCAACAAGGACATCCTCTGACATGATAAAAGAAATACATTCAGTTGTTAGAGAACATGCTGTTATCTGCTACCTGTATAAAATTCAGAGAGTTCACGGCCGTGAATACTGCTCACTGTTTGAAAAAGATGCTGCTTGTCCTGAGTGACTAAAACTGTATCGTATTTGGTAGAATCGAAAGAGGAGAAAGTTTTAGAAATACTTTTAATATGAGCTCCCATCCGGCTGTACTAGCTTCTACTGGCATTCGCCCCACGACCTTTTTCGGTCTCACTTGGTCAAGTTTTATACATCAGAACTGTCTGCTAAAGAATTACAATAAATTATACGTGTTTCAGCTAGAATGAACATCCGGCCAGCAAAATAATCTTGGCTTCCAGATTATAAGGGATTCATCAAGTCAAGTAGCTTGATATTTTTAGAACTAACTTGACTTAACCGTATTTTGTATTTTAATACAAATTATCACGAGTGGTGAAATTGGTATGAAAATTTGTCCCCAATTCTAGATTTAATGGCAACAGATTTTTTATCGCCACCTGCAACATCAGAGACCAGCCAAAGGGAATTTTCTAAGGCGGCTTTGACCATTACGGAACCCACAACGTGACCATCCTTGGCAATAATGTAACTTTAAATATAGTGCCCTAGCCAGACCGAACTAACTTACTGTTTCAATCCTAATGTCTGCATAGGGATGAAACATGATTACCCTTTTTGAAAATTGTGTATCGATGACCATGTATCATATGAACTAATTTGTGATAATCGAACCACATTAAATGCTAATCGTGATGAACGGTCAATCGGATTTGCATTTGTACTTGTTCCGAACTAGGAAGGTTAAATGGCATACTGTCTACTATTTTAATACAGATGCATACCTGTGATATGGAACAAGTTATAAGAACCGGAAACTTGATCGAAACCTAACTTTGTCGTTCCATTTTTCATAATTAGTGACCTCAAAATAAAATTATAATAAAATTCAAGTTATTAACAGAACAATTCGATTCAGAGTAAAAAGCGTGGGGTGCTTGATATATTAAATGTTACAATCATTCTAATGGAAAATATCTCTTTTTACTCTGAATTGAATTATTCTATTAACAGCATTTCTTATTGTAATTTATTTTATTTTGAGGTCATTAGCGTGTTTTTTAGTTTTTTTATTTTATTATCTTTTTTTATTATCTATTATATAGTCCAATATGCTTCCCTGGCTTGCATGTGCTGAACGGATTGCTTACTTTAGGGTCTGTGATGCCAGTATCATTTTTTTTGTTTGGCATTCGCTGAGATAGACTTTAGGATACTGTTCCAGAGGATTCATCATCATAACTTGTTCATCTCTATCAAAGAGCTTGCAACCCACTAATTACGATGGCGAAGAGCATCGAAGAGGTTTATCCAAAATGATATCGAAACGAGGTACCTGGAAGTTATCACCGCTTAGGGGACGCCCCCCACTACATTGATGCTGTCCAGAGGAGGGTTGCTCGACTGATCTGACGGAAGGTCGGAGATCTTGCCCTCTTCTTCCGCAATGTCAACAGATATTCCTAAGTTTTGAAGGTAAATGTACGGAGATATCTATGATGGGTGAAATATGCCTAATATCATCATAATTGGGGTAGAAGGCGTATAAATATATCAACCTCAAAAAATTGAGGTATACCCTCCCCCACCCCCTGCGACACCTTACCCCCAGTTATTAACCCCTCAATTTTTTTTCTCGAAAATTATCAGGGTCGTAGGAAACGTCAAATAATGAAGTTTGAGCGATTTCTATTCCATTTCGACAGATATGATTGAAATGCGTTAGTATGATTCCTTTATGAAATAACCTCGCGAAAACCGCATATCGATATCTTGTTCCTAACCGAAAATTTAAGCCAAAGAATATTTTACACGGAAATCTCTTAAATTTTTATCTTACAAAACCAATTTTTCTGAAGTTCTATTTTATTGATCAGGATAAAATCACCCTTTTAGAGAATATTAAAAAATATCGCTAAAAGATAAGTAACGCTAATAACAAGAGAGATGTGTTTTGTTTAAATTCATACTCACTATCGTTATATACGAAAAAGCCAATTAAAAGAAGCAGGCCATAGAATACAACAAAACAAATAACTAATCAAAACATAAATAATTGTCAATAGTTGTCAACAGTTTCACGTTACTTTAAGCAATTTTTGTGCTTATCAAATGCGTTACGAACGATGAAGCTGTTGTTGACATGCTTGCAGTTTATTTTGAATATCTTCAGAATGCTGCGCTAGCAAAAAGAGTTTAGGCGACTCGATATCCAAGTCGGCGTCTTTGCGATGTGAGAGTTTTTTCCTGATTAGTGGCGAGATTACGAGCCAATGGTAGTTTTCGGCCTAGATTTCAACGGCAAAGAATTGTAAGAACACAAGAAAATATTAACCGCGTACTGGGATATATTGAAGAAAATTCTCATGTTAGCACAAAAGCATTATCTCTTGAGTTAGGCATATCACGAACAACGGTTCAAAATATTTTGAAGAACCACAGGTAAGCTCTAATGGACATCAAAATATAGGGACTTATTTGAATTACCTTTTTTTTTAATTACCTTTAGAATGCACCCATAACATGTCGTTTTGCATCAGGCCTTTAAGAGGAAGACTGATCGGAGGTTGGACCATTGCCATTGGATGTTAGGCATGATAAGCGAAAATATATAATTTGAAATAAAAATTCTTTGGTACCGATGACACGACCTTTAATAGTGACGAGAGAGTCAATCTGCACAACATGAATTATTGGTCTGCAGAAAATCCGCATTGGTTGCGTGAAGTTTTAGCACTAAGGGCGTTGAAGTTCAATTGCCGTTATTGTTGGAAGATATTCCACTGGAGACACGGCACAACTTGTGGGTGATTGCCTAGCGCATTTTGCTACTGTTGTGCGAGTAGCAGTATTCCAACAGCGGCGGATTGGAAGAGGAAGTCTGTTTCCATGCCTTGATTTTTATTTATGGGGACGGTTAAATGACATCCTGTTTTAGAAGCAACCTGCAACCAGAGAAGATATGAAAAACCGGATTAGTAATGCAATACGTAACAAACCTAGAGTCGAAATTGAAGCTACAGTTTCGTCTAGCCATGAGAAGCTTCAGAAATGCATAGTGCATGGTGGTAAGCATTTCGAGCATTCACAGAGGCATTCAGAACATTTATTTTTTAAATTGGTCCTTTTTAGGGTCACAACTTAATAATAAAAACAAATTCAAGAAAAAATAGTTTAAAAATAAAAATTTGAGGGATTTCCGTATAAAATTTTCTTTGGCCTAAATTTTAGGTTAGGAACAAGATATTGAGATGCGGTTTCCATGAGGTCGTTTAGACATCATTTAGCTACTTTTTCATGAAAAAAATCTTACCATTATGCATTTAATTCTTTTGCGAAAATTAATCAAGTCTGTCAAAATGTCGAAAAAATCC